TTTGATCAAAGGATGATGAGATTGAGTCTCGACTTTGCTATTTTCGTGGAATCTGGATCTTGGTCTCGAGTCTTGACTTTGCTATTTTCATTAGCTTGAGTTGTTTCTGTTTCCTTATAGTCATGATTTTATGATGTTGGATTGCTGAACAGTCTTGAGTCTTGTTTCTCTTTCCTTACGGTCTCTCTTGGACTGCTGGACAGCTTCCTTACAGCCACAGAAGTGTTTGACCTGCTGAAATCTCCTTAATGTTCAAGATGCTAGAGCTGCAGTGGACTTTGATAGGCCATGTTATCTGATAGGTCAATGTTTAGTGCAAATTAGTGCTGCTGCTGGGCTTCATATTCTCGGAAATCGTTTGTCGAGCTTGAGTACTTTAGCTCGATATTGAGCTTGCCAAGTTCTCGAGCTCCATCAAGTTGAGCTCGAGCCCTCCCACTACTTCGAGTCGAGCTCGAGTACTGCTTTTGAGCATCAAGTTTGAGCTCAAGTATGGCGATACTCGAGTTCGACTCAACCGATATCACTCCTACTTATATGGCTGTTCCAAACTAAAAAAGAAAACATTATATAATATTGAGTCCAATGGTTAATAAGATGAATAAAATATATGATAATGCCAATCTCATCTGTTGAATTCAATTTTTGAAAAAAGATAACGTCATCCAAGCGAAAGAAAACATTCACAGATGATTTATTGCTCACAACTTCATTAGTTAGAATGATATTGCTGACATGAAGGGTGACGAAATGATATGCAAATATCATTCAGTTTTCACTAGATGATTTCCTTTTCTCATTGACAACAAAAAATGTGTATATAGATGTATATCTCTACTCTACACAGAAATCAAATCGAACAGAATTCTCCACAAAGTTCGAGACTGTTATTCAACAACTGTAAAACCGTGACAAATATGAATAATAGATAATTACTTCTTTCATTAACACAAAGAAACCTTGACAAAACCTTTTCTGCTACGAGACGGTTGGAAGCCACAGATATTGTACATAAAACGCTTTCAGCATGTTATGGTTAAAACCAATCAGGCTAAATTACGACCAACTGTAGGAATGGTGGAAGTGCATTTTTGAACCAACCAACTACCATTATCTCCTACCACATTCTATTACTAAATTCATAATCAAACTAGTTTTGTACCCATTCGGTGAATGGGAATTGCCTAAAAATAATAAATTATTTAGTATAGTTCATAAAAATATTTTCATAAAATACAAACTTATTGTATAATCTATTATAACCTTTCGTAAATACATTGTTATTAAAAAATAGTCTTATAATGTATATTTAAACACCTAATTCAGTGATTAATAATTTGAAATGCAAAAAAAAAAAAATCGACAATATGATGACATTCAAAAACTTGAAAATAGGGAAGATCAAATCTTGGCTGATCTTCTGTAAACAAAAGAATGGCCAACCCGTTACCAAAACATCAATTTTGGTACTTAATATAAATGACTTAAAGGTTAGTGTGAAAAGAAAAGAAGCCGAGTGAAATATTAATAAAAGATAATAATTCAGAATCAATCAAGTCACAGGAACATAGCAACCTTCTAAATCTAATCATGGCTAATAGAAACCAAAACGAAAACATAAGATGTATTTTGCTATTAAGTCAAAAATATAAAAAATCTAAATAGTCTGATGTATATTGCATGACGTGAACTGCTGTATGACAATAAACTTGATGCCTTGCCATTTATGTAATCAATGACACCTTCTTGTTCTTTAGAAGCTTTCTATCAAAGTCTAAAAAAAAAAAACATTGAAAACTGCGCAAAATTTTTTTAACCCCAGAAACCCAGAAAATAAAAAAAATTAATACGTTGTTGAAGACAATTAATAAATTGTCAAAGGCAATTAAAAAATCGTGTGAAAACACATAGTTTAAAATGCCACTTCTAAATCACTAACCAAAAAAGCAATATGTGTTCTACTTAAATTGAAGAGTGAATCCATAAATTGAAATAACAATTAATTACAAAAACCTTGCCAGAAATAAAAACCAAACTGTAACTTTTGAAGAGTTAGAAAATTCAAATTCAATGACCTAGTTATGAAAAAGGTGTAGGAAATTATAGACCACATACAGCGAGCACAAACAAAGTCCAAATGCGGTCCTTGCATTGAAAGGAATAAAAACGAAATTCCAAATCCGGTCCTTGCATTGAAAAAAAAATTTCCAAAAACATTGTGGAAAAGTGTAAACATCTGCACTGCTTGGTAAAGTGATAAGTAATAGATCAATAACCATATATATGAGTAAAAATGTAGAGTATCTTCGATAGCGATAATCTGATAAAGATAATCTAATATTTGAATTGATATTTCGAACTTTTGAGTTGAAGATGAGAGAGAGTTAAAAACATAATTCAAAATTATTTATACTAATCCCCTGAAAATTTAGACTTGACGATTAGGGTTAAGGGAAAAAACGTGAGAGAATGGAAGAGATAATTATGGAAGGATTATCTAGAATTGTAAAGTCAAGAGAAAAAAGAGAGATAGAATAGCGTAGGTTATTAGGAGGTTAACTCATAGAGCGCGTTGCACCTACTTGCTATGTCGATAAGTCACGTAGGAAAGAGATAAACTAAAAGGATAAGGATGAGAATAAGACTTTATTATATACATATATATATATATATGATTTATTAAGAATCCTATTAGGAAACTACTTGCCGTCTCATTAAGCCACGTAGGAAAGCGAAAACATGAAGGGATAAGAATGAGAATACGACTTTATTATATATATATATATGATTTCATCTTCTTGTAGGCTCACAAAAGCAAAATAATCAGGTATGGACTGCAGTTACTCATAGCCAAAAAGTTCCAGGAAGAAAAAGGATTGACTCTGGAATAGATCACACAAAGTCACCAACCCTTAAAACAAGGAAAAATAGACATAGAATAATAAATCAAAAACAACAAAAGAATGATGATATAGTTAGAATCCTCGAGGCAATGAAAGCTAGCAATGATTTGCAGGAGGATCAGAAAGGAGAAGCCACGAGCACACGTTACTCAAGAAAGCTCAATTTTCCTTTCTAATCGATTTTTTTTTCAATATATGTGGGCTTTTGAAATATCAATCTCTGCAACTATTAACGACTTTGATATATGAAAATAATTGTCCACTTAATCATCCATTTATTTCACGATTTTGCTTTTGCTCACGATGGCATTTTAATTTCATATGTTGAAGTTAATCATAATTCAGACACATGCGAAGCACCAGGTGCACTTTCTAGTAGAAGCTAAATGTCGAAAAATTGCATCTATGCTTCATGAGATCAAGTACGGTACAACCATGCCAACATTAGGATGAAATATTTTAAAGCCGCATATCTTAATATGAATCCAATGTATCATTCATGGACAAAGTATTTGAAAGTTGACTTTGACTTTCTGCAAGATAATGGTGGCGAGGAATGGCAATGGGGCGGCCCACTGCTTTCCCCCGCGCCCACCCCGTCCCCTGTTTCCTCTGCGGGTGCTCCTATGGGGTGAATAAAAATTTGTCATTTAATTTTATTGTAGTTAAATTTTAACAAATAATTAAGTACTAAAATATCAATACATTATCAAATCATTATACATTGTAATTTCACAATTGAAATTCATAAAAATAATCAAACAAAAATTATTTGAATACAATCCAACATGATGAAACAAATAAAATTAAAGTAGTCAAATTTTTACTTTTGAAATAAATACAATGACTAAGTCATTATTGTATTTTTTTTTTTGAGAAAAAATGTGTTATTGTGTAATGTGTAATTAGGAATTTAGTATAAATATATTAGTAAATTTAGTATAAGTAATTAATAATTTCTATTAGTAGACATGTATAATTATTAGTATTATTAATAATATCTATTATATTATATATACTAATATACATTATATAATAATTATAACTGATAATATCATTATTATAAGTTTGTAACTAATTAAATTAAATAGTATATATACATACAAATATAAATAATATTCTAGCTGCCATCCCTAATGATGGCTAAAAGTGAAATTCAGACATCATGTACCTCCACTACTAACCAAATCGGCAATGTTCTCACTAAAACAATATCTTTCACACGACAAGTTGATGGTTTTTTTTTTTAAATGGGAAACCCCACAACTTGCAAGGATGTGACGAGTATTAGATTAATTAGTTAAAGTCTGAATTAATCTGTTGTAACAATTAGAACTAGATAGTCTCTTTGTAATAACTTGTGCATATTTTTGTACTTTTAAATATACAGTTATGTAAATGGAAAGTTTCCTTGTTCTCCATTTCATGTGTTTAGAAACTACTCAGCCGGAATAACGGTAATTAGAATAACGGTAATTAGATTAGCTGACAGTTTTGTTTGGAAATTCCTGCTTTCATGACTACATGCATTTCTAGGGATATATGACGATAATGCCATTAATAATGAAAGCATGTGTAAGCAAAACTTTGAAGTGGCTATCCAGCCTAATGCTGCCAACAAAAAGTAGTAGCTCGGAGTTTAGCAATGGACAGTTGGACACATTGGGCCCTTCTACCAGAATGCAGCTATAGAAAAATTCTCTTGACTGTCGAGAACATTTGAGGGTGTAAGCATGAGGGAGGGAATAAAACTCCTCATACTGACTTGTTACTTAGGGGGCACTAAAAAATATGAGTAAAAGTGACAGGATTGGTAATTTCAGGAGGCCAAGCAAAGATGCTATTCCAGAACTACTACCATTTGGCAGGTTTGGATATTGATCTGGAGGTGGCATCACACAGACGTCACCATTAAAATAAATCCTCTGAGGGAAAGCCCATCCCTTGTCGAAGGTGAAAGACTTGCCCTTCCTAAATAGAAGCTCTGATTGCACAAATCCATCGGGTCCAGCTTGCATAAGCCAGTCGTTGTAGTATTTGATTCCCCATAGCATTGCCGTATCATCTGAAAAGGGGAATGGTTCAATGATCAAATATATTGTAGGATGATAGAAGATAAGTTAGCGTGTTGCAAAACTTCAGACTTGTTCTCTAGTTGCTTACTTATCAAACCGTAAGGTATTATTGGCTTATAATTAAAGCTGAAAGTCTCGGTAAGATGATTAAAATTGGGATGCTGAACGACAAGATTCCACTGTGTATAATTCATTTTGTAATTGAAATTTGTGATTGTGATCTTCACCCTCCAGTACTCTTTGTAGTTTTGCTTGACATGCCAGTGGACTCGGATTGGACACATGTGGCTAGTGCAGTGAACAACCGGTGTATAACTATTGATCTTGCTCGGAATGGCAAGAGCTGAAGCCAGATAAGAAGAAACCGATCTGTAAGATAGATGAAGAAGTAGAGTTTGGTCATGATTATACACTATATCATGTTATTTTGTCAAGTGACTGATCGAATACTGTTCCCGTCTTACCCAACACAGGTTCCTGCTGCAGGTTGAGGTACCTTGTTTTGACAACCACAAGTGCAAGCAGGGCAGTTGACAATCGTTTCACTATAGAAGGAGGAGAGCGAGACACAGCAAGTCGGAGTCTTTTGGGCTAGGAATTGTGAATATGTGCAACTTACCTGCCATGACACTGCAGAAAAGAGTACGAATTAACTGACAAAATGCACTTCAAATATTCTGTATCTAGAAACTTCTTTGTCGATAACTTTGAATAATCTGATCAGATTTTTTTCTATTTAGAGTCCTTGACTGGATTTGACATTGTGCTTAGTCTGTTGATCATTGCATATGTCTTGTAAAGAAAGTATTCAATAGGTCTAAATCCTTCCCAAGTACAGTGAAATGAAGAAACAAATTAGAAAGTACTACTAGTCATTTTTCTGCAATTATTTGAAATCTTAACCTCTTTGGATTGCATTTTTGTAAAGAACTTTTAAAAGAATATGACTTTACCACTTTCTTGAGGATAGTATACAATTAATCACAAAAAGTTTATTGGTAACTGGTGAGGGTGTTCAAAAAACTATCCCAAAAATTGCAAACCAAACAGAGTTTCTGGAAGAAGATTAGAGCTAGCAAATAAAACTTACTCAAAGCTTGGGTGACCCTCCTCCTGTCTGGTGTCTTGAATTTGCTTGGTTTGACAAATTGAGTTGGTCCGCAGGTATATCCAGGGCCTGGTGTTTTCAGGGTAAAGTCCTTTGGTGCTCTCACCGTTTTATTAGATGTCCCAGCTTGACCAACCGTGAGTTGAAATGAGGAGAGTGCATTGGCAGGGTCCTGAACCCAAGAGCTTAAAACACCACCTCTGCAGCAGTTTGCCATCCGCTGGGTATATGGGGCTGCTGGTAGTAGATCAACAACTGTGGGTTTCTTCTTGCAACAGTGAGGAATGTCGCCTTTGAATTTTGAACAATCTCCTTGCTCTACTGTTTGACCGCCCAACATGCTCCATATTACCTCACTTTTAGCCCATGTCCATCCTAATTTCCATCCTGGAGCTTCAATGTGCCGATACTTCTGGAAGTTCAAAATGCTCAAAGTGGCCTGCAAATTTGAAGAGAATTAATCAAAGATCCTTCATTTTTCTCAACTGTTGAAGAACAACCACCATATGACATTATACTTCCAATCTGAAGAGCTGTCAGTTTCGCGAATAAATTTCATAGAACAAAATATCATTCTGCAGTAGATTGGGTCTCTAGCATAGAAGAATATCTTCAGTATTCAAGAAATATTGACAGCAAAGGACAAAACAATCTTAATTTTCTTTTTGTCTGTGTAATATGTAATTCTTGTCCTCTCTGCATCATATTGACAATAGTTTCTCACTGTTTTGTTCATATATGAGAATCCAGAGAGGATATATATAAGCTACGAACAAATTGAATTTGCTAAATCAATAACATGTACCATTCTTTTAGTATTACAGTATCTATTACAATTCAGTAATTTCATTTTTGACTCAACTTTGATTGACCAGAGCATAGGCTTCTTAGGAATAGGAAACGTGGGAAAGGAGAGGAGCGGATAACCGATTTCTTAGAAGTTTCATGTGCTACTCACTATGTAACCATCTGAAGTCCAGCTCATAATATCCCATTTGATTGTAATATTGCCACTGGGATCAAGAGCATCATATGCATCTGCAACATGCAAAAATTGTCATATTATCAGTTAGGCAAGTGCTAGTGTACTTTAAACCTGTCTCCTCAGACTTGTGGTTCGAACCAAAAGACAAGAGAAAGGCTAATAACCTAGTTGCTTTATAGTATAATGCTCAGGTAAACAAACTCTTGAAGCTTGAATAAGTTGAAACTAATCAAGTCCATTGAAGGAAAGAATTTAGCTGCCTACAAATCCTCCAAAGCACCATCCTTCTTTCTGATCCAAGTCCTGCAGCCATATGCATTTCTGAACTTCTCACAATATTGTCTTCTAAGTTCCCAGACTAGATTATTCAGTTTCATTTTCAACTTTTCTAGATGCCCTTTAGCAATATAAACCAATTGCCAGTAAGTGCACTTAGTCCAAACTCTGAGAGTATGACAGCGCTAGGTATCCAAGAGTGCAAAAAAGTTTCACTATAAAAATGGATTAGGACATGAGATGACAAAGGGACTAACCTGTTGAGGAAAAGCTCATAACACAAAGCAAAGCTAGTAGTGAAATGCGACAGCTCAACTCAGTAAGTGATCCTATATTGAACTTTATGGACAACTCCATTTCTTACAAGTTAAAATTGTGAACTTTTCAATTTTCCAGCAGGTGACAGAGCAAAATATTGTGTAACAACTAACAAGTGTTGGAGAAAGGGCATGCAGAAATAGGCAGCAATAGACTCAGGTGAAAAATGTGTGGGTGCAGCTGGCTTTCTGTTGCCCACACTGCTGGTGTGTTTGGACTTTGGATCAAAATGGACTTTATAGACCCCAACTTACTTAGTATGATTGCCATTTACTACTCATTAGCAATTCATATAGCTTGATGCGCAAATTCTCTTGTCAATTATTATGGAGTAATCGCTAAGATATTGAGAAGGGATAATTTCAGAAACCTCCCTTGAGGTTTTAACTATTTCACTGAACTCCCTTCAATTTTCGAAAATTACACTAACATCTCTTGAAATTAATTATCTTATAACATTTAGACACAATCAATAATTAAAAAGCGATATTAAGAGAGAAAGATAACATGATTCCACTATTGCTCCTTATCTACTACATTATGTAGTTAATTTAATACCTAACCAAACATTAAAGAAAAACACTAACATGTGCTATTTCTCATTCGAGATCAAATCACATATAACATCAAAAAATAGTATATCATTCTATATTTTTTACTTAATGGAAGGTCCAAATTACTCTTTTTAATTACATACTATTCTCGAATATGATCAATAATAAATAATCAAAAGAATTTGCTGTTGAAGCATTATAGAGAGCAAATTTTAACATCATAAATATCCTTGTCAACATATTAAGATTGGTTGCTAAGATTATTATGGTATTAAAGTTCACTCATTGTAATGTTTTGGTTATAGATTTTTGATTATTTGTTGTTGATCATATTTTGACAATGAGTCTATAATTGAAAAAGGTAATTTGGATCTTACATTAAAAGAAATATATAGAATGATATACTATTTCTTTTATATTATATGTGATTTGAGCCTGATGATAAACAACAAATTCTAATATTTTTGTTAATGTGTGGACTGGTATTAGATTATAATAGATGAGAAACAATGGTAGAATTAGTTTATCTTTTCTCTCCTAATATCATTTTTTAATTATTGGTTAAACTTAAATGTTACAAGATAATAAACCTTAAAGGAAGTTAGTATAATTTTTAAAGCCTCAAAGGAGACCAGTGAAATAGTCAGAAATCTCATGGAGAAATCTCAGGGAGGTTTCTAGTATTGTCCCTATAAAGAATTGAATCGAATGATCAAGTTGCATCCCAAAATCTACAAAGTGCTGTTAGATATGAGGGCGGCAAATTGTTTGCCTTATGGTGAGTTTTTCATGTCATTTTACAGGTGAGCCTGCTGCTATAAAGCACGAAAGAGTTTACATCTTTTAATTAAGTGAAAAAATATGCGTATAAAACGAAAAAAAAACCACAATAAATCTGTCAATGGTTAAAGTTTTTCAGGTCCAAATTAAACTAAATAGTCAAGGGGTGCATAGTACCATGAATTGTGTCATTGCCTTCAAAATTCATGGTGAAAGATATATGGTAATGAACCAAGTGAAATAAAGCATGTACTACTTTGATACATAAGAAATAAGTGTATCTAATCAGGCATGACAAAAATATAAGAAGTAAGCAAAACAACTCATCCTAAAAACTGATATACTTTTGAAGCCTTTTTTTTTTTTGAAGGACTTTTGAAGCCACATCTTCATCATTTACGAAAATAATCAATGGTTTGGATGTTTGATTATCAAGGTGAGGTGTAGAGCAGTGATGTATTGCACATTAATCCCATTTGTCAATCTGATGATTGTTTCTTGACTTAGAAGGTTTAATGTCATTTTGCCCTTTTTTTGGTTTAAGAAAACTAGGTGAATGAACTGATGGCTAGTCAACGTGGATTATCAGCTAAAAGGCAAAATCACCAAATTTCATTTGTATTCTGCAATGGATCTATATACAGTGAAATCCCTCAAAATATGAGACTGCGGTTTATTAAAGTAGCACGGATTAGACAGCTAGATAGCATCTCACAGATCCGATCAGAGAATGATAAAATAAAAAAAAATTAAAAGCTAGTTACATACCACAATATTTTAGTATTGTATTTGGATTTAAAGTCCCAGGTTTGCTCTCTGGTAGGCGTGTCAATTTTGATTTCTGGATCAGGTTTTTACAAGTCTAAATTGGGGCTCTATTGAAAAACATTAGATAAAGACCTGGATCTGGCTCTCAATTGGGCTCAAATCATTATAGACAAAGTTTGGCCTTTTGAATTTATTTGCTTCGGGAACAAACTTGGTCCAAATTCAAAATCTTCTTACTCTTATATGTATGTATGTATGTATGTAAATGTAAATGTATATGTATATGTATATATATATATATACATATATGTATGTATGTATGTATTTAGTACATTGATCGTTTTCTTAAACGTAGTATTGTATCAAACCCAAGTTTTTAATTGAACAAACCGAATTTTTTTACACTTAATTTGAGAATCGTTTTAATTGAATCTTTCAATTTGTTTTGGTACACAACAAAGTCTCTTCTAGGATTTCTAATGAGAGTATTCACCTTTCCTAGGGATGGCAATGGGGCGGGTCCCCGGCGGGCACCCGCCCCGCGGGGGACTACCGGGGCGGGGCTTGGGGCGGGGGTGGGGGGAAAAAATTCCCCCCCGTTTAGAAACGGGGCGGGGGACGGGGGTATATTCCCCCGCCCCAACCCCCGCCCCGTCCCCCGTTTAAAATTTAAAAAATATATATATACATAATTATATATATAATGATATTATCAATTATATTACTAATTATACATGTTTATTAATAAAAATTATTAACTATTTATACTAATTTTATTAATACATTTATATTAAATTTCTAACTACACTTAATACAATAACATTTTTTTCCAAAAAAGCATAATAACAATTTAGTGAATGTATTTGTATCAAAAGTGAAAATTTGATTATTTTAGTTATACTTTTTTATCATATTAGATTGTATTTAAATAACTTTTGTTTAATTATTTTTATGAGTTTCAATTGTAAAGTTACGATGAATAATAATTTGATGATATGTTGATATTTTAGTACTTGATTATTTGTTCAAATTTAATTATAATAAATTATATAATAAATTTTTTTTAACCCCCGCGGATGCCCCCGCGGGGGATGCGGGGCGGGGCGGGGGAAGTCGAAGCGGGGGATGGGGTTAACTAATAGGCAATGGGGCGGGGGACGGGGGAAGGATCCCCCGCCCCACCCCCGCCCCATTGCCATCCCTAACCTTTCCTATAGCTTTATAATAAGAGTTTTCTTCTCTTTTAGAGTAAACTACCAAGAATTTTCTTTTAATTTGTGTTTTTCTTCGTTAAATCTTAGTTTTTTCATATCTATTTATCAGATGTGGAAATTCTGATGTCTATATTGTCAAGTCTCAACCAGATTTTTGAACAAGAAGTAGTTAAATAGTAAATCTAGCGTTGAAGACATGCACAGACATTCTCCTTTTCTCTCTCTCTGTTTTTTTTGGATAAAAAGTGAATTTTATTAACAAAATTGTTGAAAATCGTTCATACAATTTGATTTCCATCATAAAAATCTCTACTATTGGAATGATAAACCTGCATTAGAAATAACAAATATGCAATTTAACAGATAAAAAAATATGAAAAATATATCTGAAAAAGTTTTTTAATGAGATAAATCATTGTAGCTCTCTTGTATACATGTTGCAATCTTCAAATCCGCTAAGCAATTGTTTTAAATTCTAATAATGATCATAACGTCCATCAATATAGACCCAAAATTAAAAAAATCATATTTGAAATAGATTCAAATTTAATAACAAAATGAGAAAAGACTATACAAAAATCTCATTAGAAAATCCTTAGAGAACAAAAAATTCTCATTGGGAACCTCTAAGAGAAATAGAAGACTCTCACTAAGGAATTCCGTCTATTTGAGTGCCTAGGTCATAGTGGTCACCAAGATCTTTGGAGTTATTTTTTTAAGCTCTTGGAGGTAAGGTATAGCCCCCCTCCTTGTATTTCTGTGACAGCCCCACCTCCCCCTAAGGCGAATCAAAGGGCTCGGCGGACCGTCTGCCCAACTCTCGCCGGGACTCACTACAGTCCTCAAATAAAATACATCAATCACATCCAATAACATAGGGTACAACCTCAAGAATAAACGAAATAACATTTTTCAAACTTAGAACGAGA